GGGTTGCGACCAATTGGGCTGCGACCAGAGTCACGGAACGAATTAAGTTCGTAACCCAAGATTCCACTGTACTTCATTCAACTCCAGACTCTTTACAATAACAAGATTCAAAATACAGAAACCAATCACTTCAAACCAACACTCAAATAAATATAAATAAGAACAGGGCATTGCATCCATTTTAAGTCAACAAAAAGCATCCAAGCATCCACAGAATGCTCTGTTACCTGGTCATCCCTACTTTACAAAATACCTGCAGGGAGGTTGTAAGGTGCAGCTCTGGAGTCAGGAGGACTGTTTTCAGACCGATATTGCCCTGCTCTGATGCAAGGTCAGGAATGTAAGCCTTTTCTCCATACTTGTACACCCAGGACAGGCAGATTCCCTTTCATTGGACTCAGAACTTCATAACCAATGAAGCAAATGGAGAATAGGTATTATTTTATTGTAGCAGGTCACACCTTCCAGCATCCTAGTTAAGAATCTTAATCAAATTCTAGGAAAAAATGAGCACTCTTAGGTTATTGTTACACCACCCTCATCTAGCTGTCTCATGTTTCAGGACACCTCTGGATTTTACTCCAGAACATTCATGTGCTCTGGAGATATGCATGAAATAATATTATGGGGATATGGTAACTCTTACTGTCTTACCTTCAGGACCATATGGATTCAGCTCGGAGTCTCCTGAAGCGACATGAGGATTTTGAACAAGTGCTGTTGGTGCTAAAACATCGAGCAAAAGCAGCCAATGACCAGGGAGAGCAGCTAATAGAAAGGGGTCATTTTGCTTGTGACAGGTATGTGTTCTGACATTTGGGAGATCTACAAAAAAGGAGAGACTGTGGGACTGGACAAACCTATATTATAAAAAGCACATACATTCCTCTCTTTGCTTTGCATATGTGTTTGTCTACATACTGTAAATAAGGGAGTGAATCCAGAAAAAAAAAAAAGCAATTTATCTTTTTAGAAGCTGATTTAAAGATAGCTTTAAGTTTGCATTCAGAATAAACTGACATTGACGAGACTCCTTATATTTTTTTCACCCTATTTTGTTGCAATTTAAATGCACTTTAAAAACCTATGGCTTCACTTCTGTGCAGAATATAGCAGCTTCTGTATTTGATTAACTCTTCTGCTGAACTCAGATGGACTAGCAAGATCCTCTTGAGCGTTCAGAATGGATTTAGAACGCATTGAGAGCAGTAGTCTGGATAGATCATGTCTGGAAGATGGTCATTTCTCTCATTATATAACTAAATCCCTCGGAGTTATCAATATGATGTGCTTGAGAAGATGAAAAGGCAGGGAAGCCGCTCTCAAAAATAGTTTGTTGCTTTTGTTGTTTCTCAGCTGGAAGCTCATATGAGAAAGGGTTAGAATTAGTCCTGCGCTATTTTCTGCTCTTTTTCTCATTCGCTTTCAATTTGATGGAAAAGAAATAGCTTACTCTTGCAGAAAGAAAAAAGAAAGATCAGTGACATTCTCATCTGGGGAGTGTAGGCTTCTTCACTTTTCTTATTTATCAAATCAACAAGGAGATGTAAGAGAGTGTCCTGTCATTCATAATGATATCACATCTCCATTAGCCTGCAACTTTCTTGGTTTTGTAATTAAATTCCAAGGGAGGACTCCCCAGGAAAACTCATCCTATGGGGCTTCTTCAGATCAGGAACCATCATGGGTCACCAGAGAGCCTGAAAAATGATAGAGAATGGTACCAGAAAAACAACAATTGCTACCACCAGATAAAAATAAAATAAGCTCAAAGACAAAATGTAAAGAAATTCTCAGCATCCTAAGCATAAAGGAGAAAAACAGAAGCTGTTACAGTAGGGGAAGAAATAGCTTATGGGAAGATAAATTTTGGCACTATGTTAATTTTAATGGCTAGTGCAAACCATGAAGAGACCTATTGTCTTACGTGAGCCCCCTGAATAGCTTAAAATACACCAGTAAGATTCACTGTGCCTCAGTTTTCCTTAGTCACACAAAGAGAACTTGGTTGTTGCATCCTGACAGTGTGAGTCCTATAACTGTCATGCAGCTGTTTGCTATCTGTTAAGTATAGTTTACTTCATGTAGAAGCCAGCCTATAGCATTAATAGGATTCAGAAGCCTTATGATGAATTAGTTTGATAGAAAAATAATTTATGAAATTAAAAACATTGATAGTCATTGTTGGATTTTGAAGTATGCCATTAAGTTCATTAAGGAATTTGTATAACACTAACTTTTCTTCTTTTAACAAGAAAAGAACAAGTGTGTTTGCTGTACTAAATGTAAAATTCATTGCAGCTTGAACTGTAGTAATGTACATGGAATTATGGGAGTCGAGACTGTATATTTAGCCTCAACTCCTATAATTCCATTTCTTGAAGCCATGATAGCTACTCCCCTATTTTTATTTCTGTCCCCTCCCACTCCTTCAGAATACTTTTTTGGAGAAACTGAAGCATCTGTTACTTCTTCTGCAGGATTGAGAAGACAAAGGTTACCTTATGTGAAAGATGGAAATTGCTCATAAATAATAATGAGCAGAGAAAAAGGAGGCTATTAGATTCTCTTCTATTACAGGTCAGAATGTTGATGCATCATAGACTATTTGTAGAAAGCTTAAACTTATCACTCTGAATTGTGCATTTTCCAATTCAACATTCCCAGCATACTTCATGTAGATCTGACTGTTGTGTTACATGTCATGTTAAATCAGAAGTATATAACCAGTGACCCCAGGACCGCACGTAGCCTCCAAGTTCTGAAAGTTGTTAGTAAAATGTAAAATGTATACAGTATCCCTGGCAGAATGGGAAAATGATTAAACACAAGAACTATATTTAATTTAAAGGAAATGTAAAAGTAGTTTTGTCTTTTCTCCACCCACTATTTTATGGAGAATAGCTTGTGGCATGCCACTGAAAGGCCAAGTATGGTCCTCAGCCCAGAAAAGTTGTACATTCCTATGAGCTAAGTTATATTATGGTTTGTTTGGTTTTGGCTTAGCATGATATGATAATAAGCAGTCTACATATACAGAAAAAAGGCATATGTTACACTTCTTTTACTTAATGTAATTAAATTTTCTTTATCAAGACTCATATGCCCCTCTGGTTGCAAGTGACTCTGAGTGGCTTACACTTCAAATACAGTAATTGGGTTAAAACCTAATATTAATGCTACTAGTAATAATTTATTAAAAGAATAGGCCACCAGGCTCGCAGTGACTCTGGGTGGTTTACAATTTTTTTAAAAGAGGAAAAACAAGAAAAACAACAAGAGAAAAAGTGAAGAGTAAAGAGGGCTGATAAAAAAGGATGATAAAAACAGATGCAAGTTCTTCAAGGCTTGAGCCAAGACTTTCTTTTATATCCATTGCACTATATGTCTAAAATTCTTAGAGGAACATCTGAGTCAGTGCCCCGTTTAAAAAACTAACGTATACAATTGCAGGAGTTCATTCGTGACACTGCTGAGCTCTTGGTATGGATGGAAGAAAAATACAAGATAGCATCAGATGAGTCTTATCGTGATCCAACAAATATCTTACGGAAGCTGAAAAGGCATGAGGCTGCGGAACAGGAAATGATGGCCAATAAGAAGCATTTTATGGAGCTGATGATGGTAAGATGGTCTCCTGAAGGTAAAGGGATGATTAATAGAAAGGCCAGCATTTTGATAATCTTTGGTTAATGAGAGAATTACAAAATTACAGACAGCTATTCTATGCAGATTGCTATGACACAGCTAATAAGAAAGCAAGCTTATGTCCATGTACATAAAACACAGTGTTGAATCTTGGAAGACTTCCACACTTGCAATTTGTAGCATCATGCAACCATCACTTTAATGACATTACAGAAGACTTTATATTACCACAGCAAGAGCTGGTTGGTGCTATAAATTACTAGTGATGATTTCCTCTAGAATTTCTGCAAACGTTGGGTTTAATTTTTTTAAAGAAATTAAAATTAGAATCAGATTTCTAATATTAAACTTAAGACTGCATGGTCAGTTTAGAAGCCTCAGAATTTAGGTGCTTTCATGTTGGATGTATCGACATATGAGCACATCCTGACAATGCAAAGTACATGAACGGTTGCAGAATTTCTCTGCAGCAAAAAAAAAAAAAAGCATTTTAATCTTTCAGATAATCTTAAACTGTAGCCAAGTGATATTAGGGCCTCCAATACTGTTACAGCTAACATGCATTCATACATATCTATCATACTAACTTCTTTGGGGGTAAGCAAAATGGTGTTCTTCCAGATTCAGTTTTCAAACAAGTCCCATAGTCAGTCCATAAACAAATCATATCCATATTTTAACATTACATTATACCTGTAGCCTTATAATGTGATTTTCCCCCCATTCAGCCTCTTTCACTTCATCATTCCACCAAGCAGTTTTTCTCATATTTTCCAGTAGCCCTGCATACTCTATAACGTAACTCTTTTCACTCTGTTCCAAGTATTTCCATGCTGTCTTTCCTTTTCCAGACATTCTGCTAGGATTTTAATCCGTTTTGTAATGTTTTTTTTTTTTCATAAAGGACTCAAGCAGTACATTCTCTTTGAGTTGTTCTACTTAATTCTCATTTCTTTTACTTTTGTCTCTTTATTCTTCACTAATTCTTTTGGTTTTTCTACCAAAAGATTCTACCAGAAACAGTAGAAACAATCATATTTTTAGATTTATATGCATATCTTTGGCACAGATACATAAGAATAAAGTTATGCTTAAAACTCATATATGCAGCTAATACGCCTTTCTTTAAGTAGATACTTAGAAAACAGTTACCAGTCATTTGTTTTGTACTCTCCCATTTCATTCTCACCCATTTATTCACATTATATAACAGAATCATTTTCCCCTAGATAGTATTCATTCAAAATGGTGCACAATTTTCCCCAAATTCATGTCTAGTTCTTTAATATCACTGGAATATAACATACTAAGCTGCCACCAATCTATGTTTTCATACTTCCATACCACCCAGAACAACCTAGATTACACTATTTCATACTTTCTGACATATATTTTAGCCCTTTAATTCATAATTAAATCTACACCTTCACTTTCCTGCATGCATTCATCAACTCCACTTGCAAGATCAGAACCCTTTCATTCAAATCAGTCATCATCAGATTGGCCCATAGATACAGATTTCTTCTGCTCATCATTCCTTTCACATACAGTAGCTTTTAATAAGCTAGAAAAGTTCTATAACTTCTATAACTAGAAACTTCTAAACTAGAAGTTCTATAACTAGATTACCAGCCTTAATCATATCCATGCCACGAACAGCATTCTGTGCTAATGAGAAAGACAATACAGGTCAGTTTGGACACATTTTGGCTAGAATGCCACAAGCACAATGTGGGCAACAGTATGTTGATTTGCAAGGTAGTCTCTAGATTAGGGATGCTAACTTGCATCAGAATAGTATAAGCATGCCTGGGTAAAATTGACTCAATTACCCCAGGCATGCTGATACTATTCTGATGCAGGCTAGCATCTCTAATCTAGAGACCACCTTGCAAATCAACATTCTGTTGCCCACATCACACCAACTAGGAAGTATGGATAGTGTATTTTCACTCAGGAGGTATTGTCGCAATATTATTGTTTTTGATAACTGATTATCAATAATTGCTTTGTGGTTGGAAGGGTAAAGGTTTGTATGACGTGCACTTCCTCTAAATAAAGATCAACAAGTAGAAATAACCAAAGTTAGCAAGAGAAGTGTTTTTTAACTAAATGTGATGCATCTCTCTAGGCTGGAAATCAACTGATACAAAATGACCACTATGCTGCGGATTCCATTCAGGACAAAATGTCAGAAATAAAGAAGAAATGGGAGAAGCTCTACAGCAAGATGATAGAACGTGGAGATAAACTAAGGCAGGCTGGTCAGCAGGAACAACTTATGGAGCTTCTTGAGGTCAGGAGCTAATGCATGAATGAAATATGTATTACAGCCAAATTTAAAATACCCTACAAATACTAAAAAGTCTAGATGGTGCATAAAGGCAATAGGAAATTATGCACTACAGCTAGTACATAAGTTGAAGTGCCAGCTGTGTTAATATTCTCAAGTTCCCTGTAGCCAGATCCTACATATTGCCCCACAATACTTTGCAAAATGAAAGATAGAAGTACAGTAGGCAGCCTGTCTGAAAGTAAAAGTAAAAGAAGTAGGCCGCAGCTTTTCTGCCCCACAATCATTGTTTTTCCCACAGTGCAAAAAGAAAGCACAGTAAAGAGATAAAGGCGGCAGGGCACTGGCTGGTTTTTTCCACTCCCTCATTGGTCATCAGAGCAGCCCATCCAAGACCTAGGGAGCAGCACAGAGAATACATGCACAGTGACCCAGAATTGCAGCACTGGGTAAGAGAGGCAAGACTTTGGCTGTCTAGAACTTCCCATAAACGTGCTTTTTTAGAACAAGAGAACTGTGGCTTCCACTAACAATTTCAAGGAACACTTCCTAAAGAGACTCTGCCTGAAAGTATTTGTATGAAATGGAAGAAGAAATTGTCAGGAGGACCTAACATAAGTTTATATGAATAACTGCACAAAAAAGTGAATGGTAAGGAAGGTGAAAGCTTGGTGATTGATCATACATTTTGCCAGCACTGTATGAACTATGTGAGCGACAAAAATGCATGTTTGTATTTGACCTCTCCGTTTTCCTCTCTAGGATGCTGATGAGAAGATAGAGAAGATAGAGAAGATGCTTCGAGATACAGAACTGGGCTGTGATTTGCATTCCAGTCGCAATTTACTCAAGGAGCATAGACAGCTAGAAAATGAAATGCAGGGACTGGCTGAGAAAATGAGCTCCATTGTGTCTCATGCCAAGAGTGTAGCAACACATCACTTCAATAGAGAGAGGATTCTTGATGAGACACGGAGGTATCTGGAAAGGTGAGCTACTCTTGTTTCAGGGATCAGAAATCCAAAGGCTACTTCTAAAGTAGAGCCAACTACTGTACAAGACAGAGAGCAGAAAAAACTACTAGGATGCTACAGTGACTAAGTACTGAGGTTGGCTGTGGGAAAAGCCAATTCCCCTTCTGCTATGCAAGAATAGCAAGACATATTTTCACCTTAATCTACCTCACAGGGTTTTTTGTAGCATTAAAATATTGCTCTGACCTGATGGGAAAAGAGGGACAACCTGTGGCCCCTGGTTTCCAGGTAGCCCCCAGAGCCATTTTGGCAGCCCCCAGAGTACTCCCACATTGCCCTGCTGAATTTCACCAGCAACCTTCAAATTTGACTTCCTTTTCTTTAAAGCAAATAAAAAAATATGAAATTGGTACATCAAGTTTGTTTGGCTTAGCATATGTAATGTACACCTTTAAACTTCCTATCCATCCCCAAAACACATGCAAAAAGGACAGCCACCTCCTCTTTGGTGACCTTATTATGTGGCATCCTTCTGGCCTTGGAGACCAATAAATACATAACAAAGGAAGTGCTGTTCCCAGTCACCAAAAAAGTTTTTGTTTTTTTTTTTTACTATGGAAAATAATGCATAAGAAAAAGTAGTGAATTACACAAAAGCAACACACCCAAACTAACATTGTCACATGTTCCATAGATTGGCTAATTATAAGGTAAAATAGTTGTGGAAAGAGCTCTAGGTATATTTTCATGTAGATGTCCCTACTGCTTTCTCTTCTTGTCTAGCATTATTACGTTACTAATAGTTGGACCAATCAATTAGGAATGCTTAGTTAGTGAGGGGCCCTAATGCCTTTTTTTAAATATACAAACATGAACAGCCTTTTTTTAAAATCTAATTTACAGATTTGATTCTCTCCAAAAACCCCTTGCTGAGAGAGGGCATCTGCTGGAGGCAAATGTGGAACTGTTTCAGTTCTACCATTACCATGACATGGAAATGAAGTGGATTAATGAGCGATTGTCCATTGCCAACTCTACAATCCAAGGGAAATCTTTAAATAGGGCTCAAAGCTTGCTACAGAAGCAGAAGGTAATTCCTCAGTTGTGATGGTCCTGCTGTAGGTCAGACTGAGGGTTTGCAAAAGCATTTTCTTTTTCAGGTTTGGGTTAGCAGCTCATTCTCCAGTCAGATGGAAAACTTACCAGGAACGAGGATTCATCCTACCCAAATATCCTACATTGGGCACAGTTCTAAAAACAAAACAAAAGACCTTCCCTAGATGCCTAAACTTTGCTTCCTTCTCTGTTTTGGTTGAAATCTGCAAGGTGAATAAGAATATCTTTTTTTTTTTTTATATAAATTTTTTATTTTTTACAACAAACACAAACAAACAATAACATA